ACTATCTTATATTTATTTTTGTTCACTTGATCTTGAGAATGCGTCCATGATGGACACGAAACGTCGATCCTTTTTGTCAATAAATTTTGTGTTAAAGTTATATGGTAAACGTCTGTTGATTCGTATTATTAAATCCACATAAAAAAACATTGTTAAATCATTCTCATTTGCATTGTTTAAATATAGAAAAATATTTTTTTTTCAAGGTCAATCAGACTTAGGATTATTTGACCTCCTAGGAAGTTAACTCTTGTTGATACTTGAGTTAATTACAGTATTTGTGGCAATGAAAAGCCAAACCAGTCACTTGTCCCCAAAATCAATTTTTACTGTTCAGTAGTTATTACTGTAATACAGTATTCAACAGTAAAGTTAGAGCTAAAAATGGTAAAAGAATCTTTTAAATCTGACATTTCCTTAAGAACTTACAAGCGTTTAAACATTCAGATTTTTAAAGAACAATATTTGAAAAATCAGCCTTCAGAGTTTATGATTTCGTTCATTTCTTAGGCAGAAACCATCACCAAATCGTTAAAAATTGTTGTTTTAACATTGCAAATGGGGAAACTAACAGCATGATGCAGGAGCGGGTCCAGTAGGAGAACAGGGAGCACGTGCCTAAATTAAAAAAATTTCCATGCATAGTGTTGTGCGTTACATTTCTATTCTGACACTGTTGTTCTGGATCCACGCCTATGATGTATGGATATATATAAAGTTTGTTTAGTGCAGTATTAAATAATTTCAACAAATTTGTCATTCCAGCATGTTTTGGCCAAAATCTCTGAAAAATGATTTGTGACGAACGACTGTTTTGTCTTGTCTTTGCCACATTTGTTTTGTTCTTTTTCTGTAAACTCATTTGTTGGATCTCTCATTTGTGCAGGAACTTCACTACTTTTTAGCCAACTGTAGACTTAACTGTAGACTTCTTTTTACCATGTTGATTTGTTAACTAATCTTTTCCTTTGGATTTAAATTCATGCTCTGTTTTGTTACATGTGCAGGAAATGATAGCATAAACAAAATGCTTTTTTTCTTTTAGCAATTAATAATTAATGAAAACAAAACCCCATTTATCTTTATGATGGTAGACTTTTGCTTTATGGATATAAATAATGTTAATTATAATCAACACATACCTGTAGTAAACAGAAGACATTGCACAAATAACTTTTCTGAACACGGCCATACAGTAGTTTATATGCCACTTGTAGCCCTGCAAGTGATTTTATTGGTTAATACTAATAATTAAAAAAAATATTGTCACTTTTGAATATATTTATTATGTTTTTATTCAATAGGAAGTACAGTACTTTAATTAATTCAGTATTTTAGTATTTTATACAGAATGTAAACAATACTACAGTACATTAAAATAGCATTGCAAGGGTCGGTTGTGAGTGAAAAAAAAATATAAACAGTAAACATAAATAGCCAACCATTACCATAATTTCTGCATATTTTAATATAAATAATGGATCTTTTTTTTTAATTTTTAATAAATTACATAGAAAATGTACATTTTTTATACAATGTCATTGTCTGAAATTTTGAATAATTCTTCACTTTTAGATAATTTGAAGGTGGTG